CCCCCCCCCCCCCCCACCGTCCCTCAGGCTGCGCTCTGGCAGGCTCCGCTGGCTGTGGCCTCGGTTGCCCATCTGGGCTGGGGGCCCGGAACTGGCCAGGTCCCTGCTGGCCTGCTCCCTCATGCACGCCAAGGAAACCCAGACTGGAGACACCCCTGTGGGGCAGCTCTGTGCGTCTCCTGCAAGACGTGGTGTTGCCATCGCTGCCTCCTTGGCCACCTGCTGAAAACGCTCGAAAGCACTGCAGGAGGGAGGACAGGAGACTGAGTTTGCGAATGCAGCTGTCTCAACCCCACAAGTGCTGTGCAGAGAGCGATGGTCAGTTCCCGCCGACTCACAACTCGCTGACGCGGGGGCACTGGGTTTTGATTGCTCTGGCCACCAAACCAGTGGGCAGGCTGAGTGGGCCAGGCACACCCCTCTGCACCTGAGTTTCCCCACCGGTACAACCAGAGTGATCCCGAAGAACCCTCTGGCTCCACAGCCCCAAGATGCAGGATCCTGGTCCCTGCCAGAGCTGTCTGGTTGACCCCCAAAACGTCTGCAAAGCGTTTAGGGGGTGACTTGTGTCTGTGACATTCCAGGAATCAGCCAGCGCTCCCCTTCCCCTCAGGGCTGCTTTCTGCATAGGCTGTGCATCCTCCCTTGGGCCCTCCCCCACCTCCAGCTGACCCACGTGTGCCACTCAGACTGAACAGGGCAGCTCCAGGCTGAGCATGCTCCACTGTCAATGTTGAGGGTTGGAAACTCCCATATTTGCTTCCAAAATAGCCCCAATTCCTGTACCCCTTATCTTTGGGGAAAATGCATCCCCCCCCCCCGCGCCCGCGCACACACACACACACACACACACACACACACTTTCTTCTTGGCCAGCTGGATACCAGGGCTGGGGTGGTGAGGGCAGCTCGAGAGCTGTGGGCAGGGTTCCGGCACCGTTTGCAGCTCTTTATCTGCTCAGAGTTTTCAGAAGCTCAACTGAACGAGATGAACTTTCTCACGCACCCCAAGAGCTGGGGCAACAGCACCATTTTGTTCCCATTTCCAAAATGCTATCCTCGTTGAGAGGAAGAGCTATAAAAACAAATAAGACATTTAGGGTTTGGGGGAAAAAGTGACCTTCATATATTTTTTTCACTAGAAGCCCCACTTCTCGTGGGGCTATTAAAAACGTGTGCCCTTTCCCCGGTGGATGGCTGTGCCCAGAGCTCGGGGTTCAGAGCTCTCTTGGCCGGGGCAGCAGCTGGGCCTGGGAAACAGCACTCTCTCCTCTGTGTCTGAAGGGCAGCTCTAGGGCTCGCTCCCCAGAGGAACACAGGAGCCTGTTCAGTGCCGTTTCCCGGCTCAGTAGTGAAGTCCCCAAAAGGCACCTTCATGTATTTTTTTGATTTTTTAGTATTTGAACTTCTGCGGCATTAATTTTTTAATTAAAATAGTTATTTTCAATTAACACATTATCAGAAGGAAAACAAAATCTACCCCCAGAGCAGGACCCCTGTCCTGCGTGATTCAGTACATGGGCTCCAGGGTCCACACCGAGGCTCCCTGCTGCTTGGGGCGGCCACATCGGATGTCACCACCTTTGATCAGCTCACTCAGACTCTCCGAGGCCAGCGCTACAGGCTGGGGTGACTCACTGAAAAAACTTAAAATATATCACTTCCATGTATTTCGACTTTGTTGATGTTTTTTGGTCTTGCCCTCAGCAGAAATACTCTCCATGAAAAAACAACTGCTCGGTACAAAGAGATCCAACCCTACTTGCTATACAGAATTACCGGTTTTCCTTGAAACTCTTCTTTTGGCCTTTAAAGGAGACACTCCCCAACCTTTTGAGGCATCCTGCTGTTAAGGCAACTGTGTGAACTGGCGGAGACCAGGGCGCCACCACCTCCTCCCGCCTGGCCCTGCTGGCACAGGACGGTCACTGTCCCCGGGGGCCCAAGGGAGCAGCCCTGGTCTCACAGGGGCCAGAACTGTCCCCCAAGGAGGAGACGCTGGCCCAGCCCTTCCCTGGGGTCCCCTGAGGTGAATGAGGACGAGACCGGTCCTTTACTCTGCCCTGGACCCCCCCACTCCGACTCCACTCACAAGGCCACGCTGGATCCACGAGCAGTTTATTGAATTAAAGCCACCCTGACAGAATCAGCAGTGCTCCCACAGGTGGCATGTAGGTCACCCCTGCAACTGCTAATGTTTTAATTTGGAGGCAATGACTGCTACAGACATCTCCTTTCATTTTTAAAAAACAAACGTTTTCAAAGCATCTTACAGGCCAGAGGACTAAGCAGGATCCTCAAACATTCAGGAGTTTTTGAGGAAAACTCAGGAGGAGGAAACGGCTCCACACGCCTTCCACTGGCCACGGCAGATGCTGCAGCTTTGGCACCAGCCCCAGGACCGTGGACACTACAGAGCCACCCCTGTGCCCGGGGGAAGGGGAAGTGCCTGCGGCAGCCGTGTGAAAGCATCTAAACACTTGCCCTGCGGGGCCCGGAGTCGGAGCAGGGCCGCTGGGCACGGCTGAGATGCTCGTGTAAACCGAAGGGGGACCAACGTCAGACCAGCACCCCACCGCCACCAGGCACAGCGGATGCGGAGGACTGCACAGGAGGAGGGTGGCGGCAGGGATGCCCTGCACAGCATGGGGGACACCTGCCTCGCTGTCCCCTGCCCTGACCTGCAGGCATCTCCAGGCCTGGAAGACAGACACCTAAGGCCATCTCTGCAAGCACACAATTCCCAGAGGAAAGGGATGCCTGTGCGGTAGCCCTCCATGGGGACGGCCAGTGGGTCCGCCCGGCCTCAGGCCCGGGCCCTCGGCCTTCCCAGGCAGCCCCGGGGGCTGCTGCACCCGCCATGCCCCAGCACCCACAGAGAACCCAGGCCCCGCTCCCAACACCCCGGGGCTCCCACTGGCCAGAGCCCGGCTGGAGACAGTGGGTCCACAGCAGCCTGCCCAGGAGAGGCCGGCAGAGCAGCGAGGCCACGGGGGCCCTGGAAAGGTGCCTACCTAGGGTTCCACGACCAGAGCCCTGTGATGCTTCTGTACCTCACCCCCACGTGTCCCGGGCCCGACCCTGCCGTGAGTCACCCCCAGCCAGTCTGAGGCTGCGGGCTCCGTGGGCTGGGACCTGGGCTCTCCTGGTGCCGTTTCTCACCCCTGCCCCCCGTCTCTCCCATCTTGGGGCTCCCCAGCCCAGCTGCAGGCCCCCTCGGCCCCATCAGCCACGTCGAGGCCACGAGGGCTGAGATGTGGAGGTTTCCTGAGGTCCTCGGTCCTGCAGGGCCCAGGGTGGCCCCCTCCTGGTATGTGAACATGACCCAGGCTCCAGCCAGCAGTATTTTGAGCCAAAGTGGGAGTGGAGACCTGCTTTTCCGTCACCTTGAGAACAGCAGGCGCCCAGCCTGGGGGGAAAACCTGCTCACACGAGTCCTGGATAACAGAGCACAATGTCGGCACCCAGGCCCCCATCACCTGCCGAGAGCCACAGAAGCTGAGCAAGACCCCAATGGCTGGGACCCTGTCTCGGGGCCGCAGCACCCACCTGCCCCACTCGGGGAGGACAGGTGGCCGGGCCGGAGCCCACGGCCCGTGGTCCCGCATCTTCATCCTCCCGGCTGCCTCAGAGGGCCTTGGCGCTGGCGGGGTGCGCCATGTGGGGGGCCGGCTTTAGGGGGTGGCGGGTGAACACGTAGGCCTGCCCCAGGATGGCCAGGTCCACCAGCACCTGCAGCAGCCCGCACACTGAGAACTGCAGGGGCGCGCCATTCAGCAG